GTACAGTGCACATATTCTAGGCTATATGTTTTATACTTATATCGAACTCATGCGTGTATCATGATATGTATATGCGTGCTTTTAGTTCCAAGAGCAGCAGAAACCTTTTGTCCAATATAAAAGCTCATACAGGGTTCTATAATACTTTTTTTGTTGCCTACTTATGTGTGGGCGTATATGATGAGTTTGTGTGTGAAGTATGTGTGTATCTAGGCGCGTGTGTTTATATATATATATATATATATATACATGCTCAACAGCAGTATGTAAATGCACAGATATACGTTTGTAATACATCTACACTATTAAGGGTATGAACAGTATCATCACTCATCCGCCAATGCATCTCTCCACTTGCTTCGTACCGTCCAAGTACCGTTTTTTTAACTGGTCACCCACACTTTCTACCTACAGTCTACCTATATCTCCTACCTACACCTGTACCAAAAAAAAAAATTGTATTCTTGTCCATACCGATTTACCAATTTAGCATTTTAGACCTGCTCATCGCTCGTAACCACAGCCAGTGTCCATATATCTACCTACCTCTTATACCCACACCTTCAAACCCTTGAATCTACTTCCACAACTCATGTTTACCCTTTATACTCACATCTTATACCTACCTATTATGCCCACCTAGTATATCCACCCTATACCACCCCTAACACCTACCCCTAATCTGTGCCTACCTCCCATATGTTTCAGATCGGCAAGACCAAAGTGCTGAGTGATGTGGACGATACATTAGTGTGCAGTGGAGGGGATCGCATTGCGGGGATTGACTTCTCCATCCCACGCAAAGCCCTTTATCCGGGTGTTCTACTGTTCTATAGATTGCTGGAAATGGGCGATACAGGCAGTGCAGGTATGTGTATGTACAAACAGAGATATGATAGGTGTACATGGGTGTGTAGGTAAACTTATATGATAGGTAGGTATTATGATGTACATACATATATGAGATGTTGCAGCTGTAAAAGGAATACGTATTTTGAGCACAAGCATAAAATACATGGTAAACATAACGGTGTATAAGGGGTGCAAGGATACGAACTTACATAATCATTATGAGTTAATCTTATGAAAATACTAAATATATACAAAGCAAGCTTCTGTTCTACTTCAACTCATTAAAACCTAATTAAACGATACACAAAACATAGTTAGAACCAGAATCTAATTGTATATATAGCATAGACATATTCCAAATCTAAATATAATAGAAATCTGATTAAATTCAATACCTATCTACAACCAAGACATACTTCTATCAAAACCCCAATTATAATTTTCAACTTCTTCTGCACCTGCAGGACATGAAAGCATAGTGTGGCCGCCCGGTAGAGTCGGTAAGCCACGCACACTTGCATATATATATATATCTATATATATCTATATATATCTATATATCTATA